TGCCATCAGGTTGGTCATGTGAAGACCACCTGTCTGCAGCTTGTTGCTAGACCAGTGCAGCCTCCAGCGCCGGCTACATTGAGGATTACTAGCGGGGGACAGGGTAGAGCAGATCCCCCGAGGGCTCAGGGACGTGCCTTCCAGCTTACGGCAGAGGAGGACAGGACAGCGCTAGATGCAGCTGCGGGTATGTTTCTATCTGTATCTTATTGATTATATTTATGTTGTGAATTTTCCATATAGCATAGGAGAGTTTGAGGAATTTAGTATCAAGGATTGTAGACTATGTCATGGGAGTAGTTTGTAGCCCGGTTTAGGGCAGAGGTTGTTTCAGCTTCTGCAGTTCAGCTGTGGGCGGTTGAGCTGGTAAGTGAGTCAGGGTGCGAACCCTGAAGAGAATGATTTCTAGAGCCCGAGAGCGGGAAGCTTGTTTGGAACACCTTTAGGAAGGGGTATTAGGTGTGAAGTCGGCGGATAGGGTTCCACATAAGGGTTATCCATCATCGTCAGGATTCAGTGGTTTCAGCAACCGTTAGTGATTTACGAATGAAAGCGCCAAGGGAAGTGGTTCGTTGCTGAGGTATTATTTGCAGCATTTATCTTTTGGGCTCCAGGACATGAGGGTGGGGCCATTCAAGCATTAGTGACTGTCGGTTGCACTGGGATACAAAAAGTGTTCATCTGGTTATTAGAAGTGTGTGATCAATTGGGAAAGAGTTGGTTGTCATCGGATCGATTGTGGGAAAGTGAGAAGGGTTGGGAACTTCCTCAATGTCCATGTGTTGTGAAGACTTAGTCGAATCTAAGTGGGGGAGAATCGTCCCAGGATACAGAAGCAGGAGCGGTGTTGAAAATGGGATAAGTCTCGCATCGTTGGCAGGAAGGAAGACAAACCAAGTGGTTGTTTGGTTGGAGGATTATGTGAGTTGGGAGTTTGGTAAAACTCCCCAGCATGTGTATCACGTCTTCTCGGTGGTTCATAACAGAATTCGGGGAACCAGGTTGGAGTTTTGATCATGGTTTGAGTTCAGTTCGAGTATTCGTTCGAGGGTGTGCTCGACTCTGAGGGTTTTTGGATTGATAGATTGAGGGTTTTGTTAGCTGTCAGGGGTCGACAATACACTCAGCAGGGGTGCGGGTTATTTAGCGTGTGTAGTAGACACGCTGGTCAGGGAACAGACCACAGATTTCCGAGAGGGTGGACAATCGACATGAGGCCTAGGGTTAGGCTGGGGATATAGTCCACAGAGTAGATCAGGAGTTCGAAGCCCCAAGTGGGTGAGAACAGGATGCATGGGAGAGAGCATCAAGAGGGGTGGTCCAGGGAGATGCTCATCAGTTTAGAACGGTCCGGATAGACTGAAGGCCAGTGGGGCGTACCAGTCAGACCGAAGGCTCGGAGAACGGTCCAGACATGCTGAAGGTTCTGAGAGTGGTCCAGGTAGATTGAAGGCCTGGTAGGGCGGTCCAGTCATGCTGAAGACTCTGTATATGTTTGTAGATCTATGTTCGCGTATTGAGTAAGATGCTATGCTATAGCAATCAATAGGTCTGTTCCAAGTATCGAACATGCTGATGGAGTAGGCTGAGGACTCCGGTGTATTTTGGTAGATCGGAAGTTGTTATTAGTGGTCCGACGGAGTTCAAAGGATCTTGGTGATCTCATCAGTTCGGAGTGTCTCTGAGGTTTCATCTTCTTGGATCGGGTAATACTCTAGTTGGGGACTGAGAGTGGGTTCGAATGGGTATTCGTCAGTTTTGGGAAGGTTTGAGATTAGAATATTCCGTCATTTAGGTTCTGGAAACCGGGTTAGATCTTTTCTTGATCATTTATGGCATTTGGATGGGGTTGAGGCGATCCTGCTCTATGCGGTAGGCCAAGATACCCAGTGCGGGCCGACTGAAATTCGTAGGCACGAAGACTCAAGGAGAGCGGTAGGGTTGAGGCGGTAGGCCAACAAACCCTGAGAAGTTCAGCACGGTAATGGAATTGATTAGGTATGTTTGGTATTCCAACCCGATGGTTGATTGGGCCAAACATGTGAGGGATACGAGGGTATTCCATCCTAGGGGTGATTGGAGCCGTCGTAGGCTCGCCTGGTATTCCAGCCCGAGGCTGATTGGGCCAGGCATGAGTGTTCGTATTCATTAGTGGATTGATTATATATTATATTATGAGAGTTGAAGGATGCATTATCATGTCAACAAAAAGGGTTCACTCCAGGAAAAGGGAAGTTGGGTTTCTGATACTTTAGATCATCAGGATTTCGTTTAGTTGGCAAAGTGGCAAGATGGATAGACCTTATGAAAAGGTTCAATTGGGTTTCACATCATCTTTCACGATCCGCACTTGCAAAAGTGCGTCATGGATCAGGAGGCGGTAGTACCGTTAGATGACATTCAGGTCGGTGAGCGCCTGGATTATGTGGAGAGGCCTGTGACCATACTAAAGAGAGGGGTGAAGGTTCTGCGGAACAAGGAGATAACTTTGGTGAAGGTACAGTGAGAATTTTGGAAAAATATGAAAGAATTTTTTTAATGGTGTTTTTTTAATGTTGAATTAGGTTATAGTTACTGGTCAATGTGGGAAACGTAGTGAGAAAAGAGAGAGTTCTGGTATGGTCTCCCTGATGTGCCCATAAGTAAAGGTAATTTCAGCTCTTTAAAAATTTTCTTAATACATTATTTATGCTTTGTTAACATACAAATGGTATTATCAATTATGTCTATTTGTTTCTTTTTTAATTCTGGTATGAAACTATTGGGGTAAAAAGTTGTTGTGACATTGTTCTATAGTAACATTACATGAATTTATAAATATGTTCAAAAGAATTCGGTCAATTGACAACTGCTGCAGCTCAGATTGAAATCTATTTTTTTCTTTGGCTCAAGTCAAATTTTCAATCATCATTCCTATCAAGCATTTGATGTTCATCATATGGATGTATGAAATTGCAAACATATCATTTTTTTAAGTTTACTATTAGCAACTAAGTGAATGAGTTTACCTTTTTTTTTTATCAACTTTGTCATTCTTAAGAAAAAAAAAATGTTTCATAATTTGTCATACTTAAGTTGAAAAAAAAAAATACTGAAATGAAACGTTTAAAACATAAAGTTTGATTTTTTTAATTTGTTAGTCAAAATGACCATTTTGACCTTTTTCTCCAATTTGGTAATTTTATCGGAGTTTTTTTGTTTTTCCGTTATTTGACCCATTTAAACAGAAAACAATTTATTTTTTTTAATTTTTGGTCAAAGAATTCATTTCACCATTTTTATCAATTTGCCCATTTTGTTCAATATACAGGGACCATATATGTTAATTTTGTTAAAAGGAGGGAAAATGACTCTCAATTGATGTTTGATTTGGTTATACACAAAGTCAAGCTGCCATTTTGTAGTCTAAATAAAATTGATCTACACTTTTTTTTTTAATATAAATTCATTAAATGGAATCTTTTAATTTTCTCAAGTTTTTTTTAAACTGATGCAACTCCTGCATATTGTTTTTATAATTAAAAAAATGATTTTAAGATTTTTTGACCAAACTGTCCCTGCATACTATTTTTATAGTTAAAAAAATTTGACCGGTCGAATGTTTATTTATGTAATAGTGTTTCATTTTTTCCCAATTTATGCAACAATGGTTTGCATTTTTACCATTTATGCAACAATGTTGTGCTTTTTTGTTTACCAATTTATGCAACATTCACGGTTTTGGTCTTATAATTGTATTGTAGCCGATGCCGGCGAGTCCGCTTCTACCACAGAAGACTCCGACGAGTTCTCTATATCTCTTCTTTCATGGATGTTTGCCGATTGCTTCTACTTCCCAATCTGAATTTTATGTTCTGTTCAGCTCTTCAAATGTTTTCGTTCTGATTCTCGTTCATCTTCTCTGTTTCCCTTCCAGGTGTTCATCGTCCCCCCTCCATCTTCTCAGATAGCTTAATGGCTTTTAAACCCTAATTGGTTGTAGATCTGTATCTTACCCACCAATCATATCTGTCCAACTGTCCAACATTGAAAACGGTGCAAATGGTTTATTCATTTGTGTAATTTTTATTGAAATCTGGCCACATCTCAACGTGGTTGAGTGCATCGTTTTAATTTGTGTTGGATTTTGCTTACAGATTGCAAGAGGATGAATGGCAGGAAGGAGAAATATAGGGCTTCTTCCCGACAGAGTTTAAAAGGGTGCGACGATCACACCTGCACTTACAGAGCTTACTTTGCTTACTCTCCCCATGGTATCGACTCACTCTTCCTCTCTCTGTCTACATGTTTGTACGTCGAATATGTTGTTGATCCACACCATAGTTGACCAATTTCTCATCCATTTCGATTTGGAATGTAGGATTTGTTATAGCTTCTGATGACATGAGTTGCCATTGTGTACAGTAATTGAAGACTATTTGTCTTAACCTTAATTCCAGCCACTACCACATATTTTTAGGGTTTCTTAAAGGTAACCTTGCTCTTTCAATATATGAATTTATGTTTAAATTCTTCAGACTTTTAATCAGTATATGAATTTTCTTTTTAATTATTTCGAGGATGACTTTCACTTTGCAGTACCTTAACAACTGCACTATTGAAGGTTTGCTAAACTAAAGTTTTTTTTGTTCATCTTCTTCTTAGGAACATGTCAGAAACAAACTTGATGTAGTTTATGAAGAGGCTGTAGGAAGAAGAGAGTTGCACTAATTTAGGTTTCCCTATTTATAAGGAGTTTCTAATAAGTTAAAAATTCTGATACCACACCGAATACTTTCATTTCTTACATTAGGACATTATACTCTTCGATCTATCCAGCTGTATTGTATTTGAATGACATTATAGCATCATACTTTCGTGACCGGCCAAACACTAATAAAAAAGATCCGACCCGTGCAATGCACGGGCCTCATTTCTAGTTTATATGTATTATATATATATATATATATATATATATATATATATATATATATATATATATACTAATTTACAAGTGCCTGATGAACAGGACTTGCTTCTCATTGGTGGGGAATTTTTTTTTTTTGTTTTTTGTTTTCCTTTGGATCATTGTTAACTGTTTTTTATTTTTTTATTTTTTGTTGATATATGGAAGTGTCTACAAATACACGTGTTACAGAAGCCAGTGGAAAAGGAGATTAGTGTCCACCTACTCAATGTCCACCGACTCAATAAGCATCCGTCCATATACCTTCTTCTGTATCTCTCTACGTCTACTACTCACCCTCCCCACCTTGGTTTGATCCTCCACCGGCTTCCGTCTGAAGCAACTCCAGACCACCCTCTCCACCCTTCTAATTTGTCGTCTGAAGGACACAAACGAGAGAACGAAGCAATTAGATCTGCTCCGATTTCCCGATCGGTTTACCTAATCTCGGGTATATTCTTCGCATATGTCGACTCGATTTCCTTTTTCTAAATTTCTAGGGTTTGTCTGTTGCTTACCTGTTCAACATCATCACCGATTTCGTATTATAATTAAGATGCGGTTGGTTTCTTCGCTTACTTGATAAGCCCAAATAAAATCTAAATTGTCTGCTGCTTTCTCGGGTTGGATATACAGAGATTTCACATTGAGATTGAAGTAAATCCTAGCAATCTTAGATGAGCAAGAAGGAATGATGGGGTCAAAGGCAGCCACAAGCGTTGAGGTATGTGATTTACTTTGAATCGGTGCCTGTACTTCTCTTTCCCTTTCATGCTTCTATCAGCGTCGACTTGCAAAGATCGATTATCAGAAATTCTGAAAAACGATGATCGATTGAAGGTCTTCCGGTGAAGCAATCTTGGCCATGGGAAAGAAGAAGATGCACATGAATTTTTAAGGTAAAGTGACTTATACTTTTGCATTTATGATTTATGCCATTTAAATTGTTGTAATAGTCTCTTAGTGAGTTGACTCGGTTGACTCAGTTATCAAGTGATGTTATTACAGGTATGCTATTGATACTTTGCAATCCGCCTGTCTTAAGGAAGCTGGAACAAAATCTTCCAACTCCTTAGAAGAAGAAACAACTCTAACCGGACTTACATTTGGTGGTTATCTAAGATCTAAGGTAACAATGTCTTTTATCAACTACTTCAAATCATCTTTATCTAAAACACAAGAAGCTTCTAATTTCTAAAGCTACTGTGGCTTTTGAATTGTAGATAAAGTGCATGAAATGTGGTGGAAAATCAGAGCGACATGAGCGGATGATGGATCTCACTGTTGAAATTGAAGGTGATATAGCAACTCTTGAAGAAGCTCTGGATAAATTTACATGCACTGAAGTACTAGATGGTGAAAAAAAGTATCTAATCTTACCTTAAAACTTTTTATTTATTTATTTATTTATTTATTTATTAACTTTTTAACTTACAGGTGTAAATCCTATGAGAAAGCCAAAAAGAAATTGCCATTGTTGGAGGCGCCAAATGTGCTTGCCATTGCATTAAAAGCGATTTCAGGTATTTTTTTTAAAATTTTTTTAATTTTTAATCAAAGATGCTACAATACATGAATAAATGAAAGTAAAAAGTAAAAAGAACATTGCTATTTGTTGCAGTGTGGTAATTTTTTTTTTCGCTGTGGTGTGAAGTTCATGTAACATGACCATTTTGCCCCTAAAATCACCTTTGGTAACACTTTTTTCCCCTTTGTTAACTTTAATGACCGTTTTACCCTTATATTCCAACAAACAGTTTTAACAATATTTCCACTGATATGATTTATTGTTTTTTTTATTTGAAAGATGTTGGTCGGGTGCTCTGTTGGGGGGCATGGATCTAGACAACATCAGAGTGTTCCCTCATTTATTGAGTCTCTAGCTGCTGAGAAAGCTGGCTGTCCATATTGCTTCTGGAGGTTCTTCATCAGCTGTTGTAACTGGTAATATATGTCTCCTTTGAAACAAGTTTAGTTGTTGTTCTTTTTTACTTTTATCAACTCCTACAAGGATAAAATCGTCATCCTTATTTAACTAATATTAACACCTTACAATATTTTTAAGTAGAAAAATTAGCTTTTTACTTTTTTTTTAATAATCACCTATGATGATTTTAGTTTATTGAACTTTTGGAGTTTGAACTATACCAAGAGGCTAAATAACAACAATCTAAGAGGACCAATTCCACAAGTGTTGGCTAACTTGACCCAACTCACATTTGCGTAATCTCTTTAATAAAAAACTTTAAACCTTAATCTTTCGAGTCAAATGCCTTTTCATTTGGTTGAATTTACTGAAATAACCTTCCATTTACAGGGACTTATCCTTTAGCATTTGGAACAAGCCATTGGTGTTTTTGCTTGCTATTTTTCAGGTATGGATTTGTTTTTTGGTGGAGGATACGACACAACCAACAAGTATTCTTTGATATAAACAGTTAGCATTAAAATATCCAATTACCTGTTATAATGGTAAATATTTATATAATAGAGTTTGTGCTCACATAACTGTAAGCTTCTCATGCATATAGATCTCTGACCGGATAAAGTGTTTATTTTTTTTACATAAGATATTTTTCTGTTTCTTTTTCTAGACTGAACTAACCATTTCAAATGAGGGAACTGAAGGACAATTACTTTTTCAAAGAGTAGATAAAGGTTTGGCTTAATTTCGTAGATGAGGTTAATGGATTTGATTTTGGCAAATGGTGACAGTGCTTGCTGATAAAAAGTAATGTAACTACATTACTTCATCTTTAATTTATTCATAATGCTTTAATATTTATCCAATCTCTTTGACATTCGACTTAACATAAAATTCTAATGGCAATGGTATTAAACAAAATGACCAAGTGTGATGCGTTCTAAACTTTTTCATATGAACATTCATTTTTTTGTAGGTTGCAACTAAAATGAATTATTTGACCATGTGATAGCACTGCCATTGTAATTGCCCTTGAAGGAAAAATGATCAGATTTCTATTGTTGGCTGTAGCATTTACAGCTTATTTCCAGGTGGCACCTTCAAATGATAGTATTTTTTGTGTTTTGTACTCTTTATAGGTTGAACAATATACTATGATTGATTCATCATTAGGACCACCGACTGAGGTGAGGAAAACTGCCTTGGTTGTGATTAAAATTGTGATAATAGATTTTATTGTTAAAGAGTTTGAAAGAATTGTAATCTATCACATTTTTGTTTAAAAAGAAATAGAATGAAATCCAATTCAATCAGGAGCCAGGATCAAAGTAAAGGGGTATCTCCAATTTTTTTTTTAAGGTAACCCAAATTTTTTTCTAGGGTATTTGGGTTTCCACAGTTTGGTTTCGGTTTTAAACCCAAACCTTAATTGAATTCTTAACTAACCTCAAGTCTTGTTAAATAAACGTGAAGTTGAAGTATATTTTGATACTTGAATCGACGTGGGACTCAAAGTAGATATCAAATGAAGAATGAGGATACCATGTTTATATAATATACAAAAATGATTGATTTTACATGTGTTTAGCGATGTGGGATAGAATAGCTGGGAAAAAAACAAAAAGTAAACAAAGATATGTAAGGAGCATGAATCGAACCGGAGACCTTTGTTTCAATAAGCCAGCACCTTAACCAACAAACCATTAACTTGTTTCTTTTTATAAGTGAAGGGATACTTATATATACAATATACCAAATTTTTTTTTGAGGGATACATAAACAAAAATTACACTACCGAAAATTTTTTGAGGGGTATCACGGGCTACGTCGGGATCCCCTTGGATCCGCCCCTGAATTCAATCCCGCAAAGCGGGGGTTCTTCCCTGGTATATATACTAATTTCAAACTCCTGGGTGAATAGTTCTTTGCTGTGATTGGCTATTTTTTTTCATTTTCTTTTCTGCTTTGCTTTTGTTATTTATGTGTTTTTACTTTTTATCTTCTACAGTGAATTACACATACTCTCTCTTTCTATTGAACCATACTCAATTTTGGTCTGTTGACACGCGTTTTCGTGTTCTACCGATTTATCCCTCCACCCGTTTTTCTCTCCTTTACTCCACGTGTTTCCCACCGCCTAATCCACATCCCATTTAATTTCTCCTCATTATTCCAGAGCCCTCTTCGTCTCCCACACTACTCCCCCTTTGCCGCCTTACGTGGTGCTGACCACCAAAAAGGGCAGCGGTGGCGTCCAGTCGGAGATGTCGACTCTACATACCTTCAACGCTACCCTACTCCTTCCACAGTCTCTTCTACAGACTTTCACCACTGCCATGGGGCGATGGTAAATGGATTCGAGGAGTCGAAGAACAACTTTAAGCCCTCAAATAGAAGATTACATGCCCTAAAATCGATTTAGAAGCAGCTGCTAATCGCGGCTAAAGTCGTTCGCTTTGGACTCGATTTTGCCTCCGGATAATCGAGTAGAAGGAAACAAAATCAAAACCACCGCTACCAAAAAAGCCCTAGACTCATTGATTGTGGATGGAAGGAGGACGTCTTAACCGTTTCTCCAGTCAATCGACAATACAGAGGTTAGCTACAGGAACCACCGACCATCCCAACTATCTCCACCGCTTTTTTTTCTGGGTATTTCTACAATGTTCGATTGAAGGTTTTTGGTTTTGGGGAGGGTACGTTGAAACTACAAAGGAGTTCCAGAGTGGGTCTTTCAAATGTTCATATTATTATTTTTTCTTCGAGGGTTTTGAGAATTTGTTGAGCTTTTCTGTTTAAACTGATACCACCTAAAATTAAGCTAACTCTCTTGCTTTCTCTCTATATCTTCCAGTTTCTGCAAATAGCGTACTCATTTGAGTAAACCTTTGATAATGAATCTAATATCGGATAAATTGATTATTACTATTTTGATATATTTTTTTATATTTGTCACATAATTGGAATGATAAAAAAGAGAGAACACATCTAGATGGCTCCCTGATGTATTTTGAGAAACCAAGGGTTGATTGTGCGGAAACATGAATTTGATGATACCATGTTAATTATCTGATTATAAAAAAGGTAATAGTGTGTTTATAGATTAAAAACAGAGGGAGATTATGAGTAATTTTATTAGAATATGTGATAATCAATTTTTTTTTTGATAAAGATTGATCATCTTACTTTAAATGAATGTTTGATGATTGGGGGATGTTAAGCATGTTTCTGTTTGTTTATTTGCAACAATTGACAATTGTTTAATTTTCTATAAAGAGAAAGGCATGATGTTTGAGAGGGGAAATGATGGGGGTAAAGTTATATACTATGTAGGTATGATTTTGGCTTGATCTTAGGGGTAACGACTAACGAGTGCCAATTTCTGAAAGTTAGTTTCTTATATTATGAAAGTTACTAAAAACCAAAAACAAATATTAACGACACATAAACAATATACAATTTTGTTGTATTTCATCTTCTTAACCACATTTTATTTTGTATTTCAGGTTCTTCTAGGTTTGTTGAGTGTATGGAACGTTTCTTTTCTTGGATATCCTGCACGAGTAAGTTCTATTATATTTTCACCTGAGAGGAGAGGGTATTGGTGGTACTTCCAAATTTCAAAACTTTTTCAGAATAACAACCTACTGTGATTTTTTTTATCAAAATCACATGTTTCTTGAAAATTTAAATTCTCTTTAATAATATGTTGTTATTTTGATACCTTACAAATTTGTTAAATCTATGACAATAGCAACCTATACAAAAAAAAGGCCAAAATCAATTACGTTTTCAATCATAACTGGGCACTTTGGATGTTTTCCAGAATCTTAACCATTTTCCCATTTGTTTGTATGCAAACCCACCGGTCACAGAGCACGCCATCAAGGTCTACGGTTACACCGATAAAGACACTTCTGGCCAGAAGGTATGTATTTCACTGAAAAAAAATGAAAGAATATTTTGTTTATCGCCTTATTTTAATTTTCAAATTGAGAAAGTAAGTATAGTGGTCAGCTTGAATACATGCTCATGATTTACATGATTTTTCTTGGTCTATCTAATTATGATTTCACTTTCATTTGGTTAATGGGATTTGGTAATTCTGAGGCTCAAAAGTAAGTGTCATTTGATTGTTTGGTTGCCCTTTTTGCATCAGTAATGGTCAAAATACCAATGTACCATTTGTTTGGATGTGTATTTGGTTACAACTTCTGTTTTACTTTATTTTTAGGTGAACCATATTGATTACTTCATGGACATGATGGGCCTGCTTATGATGTTAAGCTCTATGGTGATGATCAACATTCATTGCTGTTAAGGTAACTCTTTGAATTTATTAAATGTATGCTACCAATTTAATCTTTCCATAAAAAGTTATAATTTCCAGCAATTTATGTTGTTAGTGTTTTCTCAAGATTGCAAACTCGAAAAGGATTGAGAGGAATTTGTAAAACGGTCATATATGCCTATTTATATAACCCTCCACTATCTTTGTTTAAACAATTAGTGGGTTTGGTTATTTTTATATACAATTTTTGTTGAATTTGTTCTATTTCAATATGTTTTAGTTATTAGACATAAAATTAGGCATAAGTGTGAAAACGTTTTTTCAAATATAAAATGTTTTTTTGTTAATTAAATTATTATAAAATACTATTAAATATAAGTACATAAGCTCCTGTTTTTTTTTTTTTTTTTTTTATCAAATGGTCATTTTGGAATTGAAAAAAAAAAGTTATATTGATTAATTTGATTTCTCAATTTCGGGTTTTAAGAAAATAATCTATTTAATGAAAATATTAATCTTTGTGATATCAATCTTCTGGTATAATGATGACATTGGAAAATGTACGCTACTTTTGGCTTTGGCTTATGTATGTTTTTATTTACTTCTTCTACTTTTTATCTTTTAATCATTAATGACGATATTAACCTTTGTCATTGCATAAACAAAAGAATATATGCCTATCAAGATGAAAACTTAGCAATGATGCATGCAATGGAGGGACTTCGAACATCATACAGAATGGAATGCAAGATATAATGTGTCACATATAAGGTAACCTTTTTGAAAGCTTTTTTTTTAATCCTGTTGAAATGTTATGGTTGTGTTTCGCAGATATCTTATGTTTTAGATACAGTGTTTCAAATGTATTGATTGACAACAATTTATATTCAAATTTCTTTTTAATAAGGCATTGTAATTTGGAAAATCTACTCAATGATAGTAAAAATTGCTTTGTCATAAGATGATATTATTGTAGTCGGATAGACTTTCAAAACTACAATTGTTGTAATGAGATGAAGTGAAAGTATGATGCTTAAATAAACATATCAATCAAAGTTCGTTGCTATTTCTTACTTTGTGCCCTAACTTTTTACACGCTTAGATTATTTTACCCTTAAACACCATTTTTACATTATTGGGTTAGATAACATTGAGTAAACACAAAAATGCATGGTATTTGGAATAAGTTAAAAAAATGGGACAAAAAGGCAAAAATGTCCAAAATGGGCATTTTGCTTTTATAAAGCACATGTTTGGGCTAAATGCAATTTTTTTTGTTTAAAGTCCATGATTTGGCTGAATGGAAGTATATACCTATTTTTCTCTTTAACGAGGTATTTTTTAAATTGCAGGCACAAGATTATGTACTACCACTTGGATATCTTACATTGCTACTTTCTTTATGTTTCTTGAAATGGCCAATTTTCATGTCTTTGTAATGATTTGTCATATACCCTTATTTAACTGTTTCATAAAACTTTTTCATCCCTCACAATTACATTATTAGTAATGCACCAAACAAAAAAAAATATTCTTTGAATTGTACACTATGTATTTCTAGGAACAATTTCTGACTAACTCCCGCAACGCGGGACCTTCCCTAGTTTTGAAATAATTTTAGTTAGTGAGGGACTAAAGCTGGATAATTGCAAAGTTTAGGGACTATATCTATTCATTTTGAAATGATGTTTAAACAGTAACCATTCTTTTATAACAGGAGGCATACGTCCTCATGTTCTTCTTCCTCGGCGCAATACATAAACTAAGAAAGAAAAAGAAAGTTTGCAGCGATTCATTTTTTTTTTTTTGGTGATACTCAGATGCATGAAAGGTTAGAAACTAAACCCAGGTGGTGAAGATAGCTTAATGGGTGGTGGAGATGGTGGCTTGAGGTGGCTTGAGGTGGCAGTAGCAGCGTCACAGTGGTGGCTTGAGGTGGCAGTAGCAGCGTCACAGTGGTGGTGGGTGATGGCCGGCAGCCTCCTGCTGCCGGTTTCTTCTTGTATTTCCGGCGAGAATAAATGTTGTGAAGTTGGGGATGATGTGGGAAGTCAATAGGGTTACAAGGGGGTGTTTTGGATGAGTTTAGGGTGGTGGAGGTGGTGGTTTGGTGGTGGTTAGGATAGAGAAATATGGAGGGAGAGGGGGAGAGACTTAGAGAGAGTTGGCTATGTTTTGGTGTGGATAAGAGGCTACCAAGGCCTCTTATTTATACTTAGAGGGTATACACACAAACATGAAAACCCATACTCTCTTTGAATGCTAAACACACAAACTCTCCATACTCATGTACTTTTAGCTAGTCTTGCACACCAAGGAGAAGAGTGAGAGAGAGAAGAGCACGTGGGAGTGGTAGATGATCAATTTTTTTTGGCTTCCTAATTTTCATGTGGGTCCCACATGGGTTATTCATCCATTACTTGTCCAAAACACACAAAATCGGGTGTATTGGGATCCGTGCATCGAGAATTTTTTTCAAGAATACCGATATATAGAGTTTAATTCGAGGATTCCGGAACATCAAACAGATTAATTTTGGGAGTTACGGATCTCTGGGAAATTGCCTTTGAAGTTTCGCGTCTTAAAGGCTCGCAGTGTCCGTTTTCACGACTTTTGTAAATATTTTCGAAAAAATTATTTTGAGTGTGAAATTAAATAATATACTATATCCTGAGTCCAAAAAGCTCTCGGAAATCCCGTCAACAAAACGTAAGTGCTTCAACGGATCGATTCGTTTTTACGCGATTGAAGAAAAACAGTGGTTTACTGTCTGTTTTCTTAAAATTGTCGTGTCTTTTTTATACAAACTCCGTTTTGTAAGTCCTTTATATTTTAGGAAACAGGGGAACATGTACTATCATATTTTAATATTTGTTTTGCTCAAAACTGATTAATACAAAATTTTAATTTTTCAGACGCATTAATCAGCGATGCAGTTGAGCAGTTTGATTTGGTTACTAGTTTACACGTTTGGATGTAAAACATAATTTGATTTCATATAATAATTGAATTGAACTTATTTATATTTCATTATATGCACTAAAACTGAACAAGTTAAATTTCAAACAAATTTACTGTAATTTAGTCTAGTCATTTGAAATTTATGCCATAAATTCCAGAATGTCACAAGAATATGCATCTACTGAGAACGCGCGGATGACCCGATACTTGAGCATGCTCAAGAAGGACATCAGGGAGTTTGTGATGAACTCGCATTACCGGACAATGACACACCCCTGGCCGAGACGGCAGAACATGTCGGGCTGTACGACTTGGTTCATGGATCACAAGCGAATTGAATATACATCACAAGTACAACAATAACAACACAGTAGTTATATTCCGCTTTAAAATTTGAATACTTGGTTCATAAAAATAATAATAGTAAGTACATGAATTTCCCTTAATAGATAGGCCCATATAACAAAAACTAGAGAAAATTAGGTTGCCTGAAATCCATGTACATTTCTTCTGCTAAAAGCTGGTTCAATGATCTCCTGATAATACATGTAGTTTGAGAACACAAAGGTTGGTTAAAATTACAGGTTTCTGCTAACCGTAGTAAAAATACTTAAAAAAAAGACTAAAAATTATTTCTCTTGTAGTTAAAAACATGTTTGAAATTTTTTGTTAAAAAAAGAAATCATAAGTAAATTGAGATGTGCATATTTAATCATGTATTTGGAGCATATTTCTAATACTTTTAGCTACAATTATGCTTATTTTGGGACAAAAGGTACTTATTATGGTTGAAATCTGTTTTGTAGTAGCACAAACATGCTCGGGATGAAAAGGAAGCAAACGAGGAGCTGGAAGCTAGAAAATGTGGCTAAGTCAAAAAGAAGACAAAAAAGGTTTGAGGATAGAAGACCACGACGTGGTGATCACCAACCATGACGTGGCAAATGGAAGATTCACGATCATTAAGCTGACTTGGAGAATATGAGCTTTCATAGAAGACCACGACGTGGTGTCTATTCACCACTCCGTGGTGATCAGATTTATGGAAACTATTTATATCCGAACATTAGGTCGAATGGTAAGATTTCTTGCCGATTTTCTAAGGAGGATTGTGACTAAAACCTTCTGAAAAAACCATGGAAGATCAGAAATAGATTGGAGCTCAAGAGTTGAATAGATCTAGAAGAAATCTACATAGATCTATTCGGTTTGCTAAGCATTACTCTTGTCTAGTCTTAATTGAATTGATTTCGTGTGTTTTCTGCTATTATGAGAGGCTAAAAACCTTATACTTCTGTTTGGTAAAGATGAACATGATCCTTATGTGTTGATTTCGATGTATGGATGATTTATGTTGATTTTACTTGTGTTTGATAATTAAGACCCTAGCATGTTGAAGTTACAGTTTATATTGCTTCTTAATCAAGTTCTGTGTGATAGATGATCATTCTAGCTGCATGAATTTGTTACCTAATTGTGTATGATTATTAATTAAATAATTAGAGCTAAGATTAATGACATCTTAGATTAGGTAATTAAAGCTGGTAATTTTGACTGTGTTAGAGAGCATAATTATTCTTAATTTGTGTTTGGTTGCTTATCTTGATCATAGTAAAGTAACTACTAAATTTATCAGTCATAGTCCAACTTGTGTTTAATATCGATTTGGTGTTTAACCTCTTCTTGATCATTTCATGGTAATTCATAAATTGGTACATCTAGATATTTGATAATAATAGATATTTAATGAATTGGTAATCAATATAATCCATCCACTAGAAATCAATCGTAGAAGATGGTGAAATTAGAAATGAACAAAAGTATTCTTTAAATCTTGAACTAAATTTGTTTTACTTGCTTGCTTAGTTCCTAATTTGGTAGTAATTTGATTTAAGTTCTTGTGATCATGCAAAATCAGTCCAAACCCCTACTTTAAGTTTGTTTAACTAAAAGTAGTTATTTTATTAATTAAATTGTGTTCCTTGTGTTCGATACCTGTGACAACCGTCAACTGCGGGTCAAAAGTTAAGGTCTAGTCAAGCAGAATCAATGAGTCGAAAGACTGAAAACCTGATATGTAACTATCTGATGGAATTTTCCATAATCACTAAAGTACAATCACAGTATATTAATACAAGTAATCACTCAAAACTTCACATTCATGAATACCCAACCCTTTCGGGGTAAGTAACTGAAACAACACGATGAAAACACTATTTACACATCCATCGAGCGTGTGTAGCAACCGTAACGAAACATAACGGGGACTGCAAACCCCGCGATACAAGACTAATCCCTATAAACGATCATAAACAAAGTCTTTTAACCCCTATCAAACACTGGAGTCATTGGTGGACCGAAACTCCTTTCGGTCCAGACTGTTGCGGCTCAAGAGTTATTTTGGGCCCGGAACTCACTATTGGTCCGAGGTCGTATTCGACCCAACTCACTGCGGTCGATCCGGACTACTCTCAATGCCACACCACCTTCAGATCATTTCTAATCATAATCCAATTCGCTTCCGGTCTGGAGTCTTATGAACTAATATTCCTACCACAAATACGCCTCAGCCTCACGACTCGAAAGGGGACCTCTAAGTCCGGAACGCCCTTAACACTCAAAAGCCCCATCCGGAGCCAACACACCCTATGAAGGATCCGCAGTCATGAGCGTCACAGCTCCGGAAGACCAAGACCCCTCCGGATCTGTCGGTGACCCCGGATTCAGGAGCAATCCCGGACTCATAAATAGCTCCGGATTTCCTGAACGACCCTAGATAAACGTCCCCGACTTTGAGCAACATATTCCTAACTCCAGAACACGACATCGATGTTTAGAAACCCATCATTGTAGTTACGTCCTTGAAAACCTTAATTAAAACATTATCTTTTGT